CGGGGAAGTGGAGAGATTGTGTGTTGAAAGTATAAAAAGAAAGCAGTGATGCAGAATTTTGTCTTTTACCAAACCTTCACTGCAAAGCAAAATACTAATTTGAACATATACATAATGTATATATGAATATAACATATACATATATATATATGCTCGCATGATTCACAGAGAACTTACAAATTAAAATAAGGCTACCTCAAAAATTGCAATGATATGAACTAAGACTTGAGTACATACTATGAATCAGGTTATTTTAGAAATTTTGTAGCAATTACTCATTCAATCCTAACAACAGCTTTTTAAGACAGGTACTATTACTTCCCATTTACAGTTAAAGAATTAGAGAAGTTGGGCCAAGATCAGGCATCTAAAAAGTTGTAAAACTGGCAGTCAGACCATCAGGACAGACCCCAACTTTTTGCTCCTGACTTGTAGGCTGTACTAGGTTGACATGTGGGTAAGATACTTACACAGCACTTTCCAGGCATATCAACTACCCAAACTCCAGTCTGGTATTGAACACGGGGGAAAGTGGATGGGGCAGGTAAGAAGGGAGGCCTCTAGAGCAATTCACACTGATCTACCAACTCAGAGACCATTTTCAGATGGCAAGATGCTCCCTTAGGGATACTTCCCCTGCTACATGTTTAGAGAGAAAAGAAAGTTTGAGTCCATGGGAAATGATGACAATTTTTTGACATTGTAAAAAAGAATGCTTATTCAACTTTTCATTGTGTGCAGTTTCAGCTATGACTCTGAAACTGAAATGACTGTGATATTATAGACTAAGAAACTAGTGTCATCTGGATATTAGGCTTACTATTTCAAAGTAAATACTTTTTGATAAGTATTTTCAATAAAATAAGAAGTATTACTGATGACATTAAATACTTAAGACTTTTTTGTTAACAACTTTACCGATTTAGTTATTGGGAGTCCTACAACTACAAACGTAAATGCTAGTAGATTTTAAGCAAATTATTTTTCTATAAAGTTAGTCTTCATTTAACATTTTGAAGTTACCACTAGACATTTACCATGACTCTTGAGTTTCAACTTATGAAACAGTTTACAAACATCACAAGCTTCAGGCTGAGACAAGATGATGACTATTTATGGAATGTATTTGAGTAAATACTCAAATAAAGTATGCCAAGGGGTATGCTTTCTTGAATATTTAAAAATCCAAGTTACTTGGGATGGAGCAATAATAGTACTGTGGGGCGGGGGCTGGAGAGATAGCACAGTGGGTAGGGCGTTGCCTTGCACGCAGCTGACCCGGGTTCGATTCCCAGCATCCCATATGGTTCCCTGAGCACCGCCAGGAGTAACTCCTGAGTGGAGAGCCAGGAGTAACCCCTGTGCATCGCAGGATGTGAACCAAAAAGCAAATAATAATAATAATAATAATAATAATAATAATAATAATAATATTACTGTGGGTAGGGTGCTTGCCTTGCATGTGGCTACGGATTTGATCATCCTCAGTGCTACCAGGTGTCGCCCAGAAACTAACTAGATAACCAAATAAATAAAAAGCTAAATTACTTAGAAAACTGATACAAAGGAAGGTGAGCATAAACCGAATGCAGAGCATCACGTTTATTATTAATGAAGAACTGGAATGAACATGAACTCGGTATCATTACAGTCTATTTCAAAGTTGACAATCAAAAAATACTCTGCGGTTGTTTCCACCAAACTATGGGAAAAGACTTCAGAATTGCCTCCCATGCATGAGTCAAACTGGTACTACTTTTAAAATATGAGGTGTGGTTTCAAGGTCTCGGGAAAACAATCTACTGTTGAAATAAGAAAACACTGTGCACAGATGATAGACAAAAGGGCAATTGTTTAAAGGCATGTAGAGGGCGATTGTCATTTTCACCTAAATGCAAATAAACACAAAAGGTAGAATATATGCAAGGTGGATGGAGAAACCAGTCGGAAGAGGATTCAATTCATCAATAATAACAAGATTTCAGGGCTGGAAAGGATTGCAGGAAACAATCCCACCTTCTGCATTTGGCAGGAAACGAAGCCAGGATCAACAGAATTCGTGCTCTGTCAGTACTTTCAGCTGGTTGCCAGGGATAATGCCTGGGGGAGGAGGGGCAGTGGAGTGAGCAGGCAAGGAGAGGGGGTGCACAGAAGCCCCCGGCAGCCCGGATTTTTTGAGGTGTGGGCAATTGAAGAGCAGCCTCTGAAAGCAGCAGCTTAAGAGCTGAGGACAGGAGAACCTGGGAAGGAGACGTGATGAGCAGGAACCAATGGTCATGTTGAATCACAAAGACAGGTCTGTCACAACCAGGGCATGTTCATGCCACATGTGGGTTATTGATTGGGGATGACCTGAATGAAAGCAGCCCTGGGAGCATCATAACAATGGAAGATGGCCAAGTTCTAAGCAATGAAAGGGAGGTTAAAAAAAAAAACCAAACAAACAGGCCAGCGAGGGCTAGCTTCACATCCCAAAAGCTTAGAGAAAAGGAAAAGATGGACCAGCGGGCAAAAGGAAGCTGAAGAGAAAAGGTGCTGGCAGGAAATAAGAAGCAATCACTGAAACACTCACTGAATCAATCCGGTGATGAGAATAGGGGGCAGAGTCCAGATTTCGGGGTGAAACTCTCTGTGGGAGGAGGCAGCATATACTCACTCTGAGACTGAGAAACAGGAAGGAATGGATAGATGCACAGCTAAGCTTTCCTCTCTCAGCTGGACTTAAAGACATTTTTTTAAAATTTTGGTCTTTTTAGGTCATATCCACGTATGGGATGCTGGGGATCGAACCTGGGTTGGCTGTGTGCAAGGCAAATGCCCTCCCCGCTGTACTATAACTCCAGCCCCTCAAATGGATTTTTTTAATTTAACTTTCTAAACTAGGTGGAGTCGTTTTTGGTAAGTGCTATGAAATTAAAAATTCCTCTTCCCATCTTGTCCGGTAAATTGTGAATAAATGTGTAACAAACAGTTTAAGCCTAGACCCTTTTCTTAGAGACTTAGACCAGTGGGGCTAGCTGCCCCACCCACCTCCTTCCCTCCATCCTCCACTCACGGTAACCATAACTATTTCCTCACTCTCTCTCTCTCTCATTCTCTCTCTCTCTCTCTTTTAATTTTATTGAATCACCATGAGAAAGTCACAAGCTTTCATGTTTGGGTTACAATCACACAATGATCAAATACCCATCCCTCCACCAGTGCACATTCTCCATCACCAATCTCCCCAGTATAACCCCCTCCCACCCTCCCCGTGCCTCCATGGCAACAATATTCCCCATACTCTCTCTCTACTATTGGGCATTATGGTTAGCAATACAGACACTGAGAGGTCATCATGTTTGGTCCATTATCTACTTTCGGCACACATCTCCCATCCCGACTGATTACTCCAGACATCATTTTCTTAGTGATCCCTTCTCTATTCCATCTGCCTTCTCCCCTCCACTCATAAGGAAGGCTTCCAGCTATGGGGCAATCCTCCTGGCCCTTGTATCTACTATCCCTGTTTGTCAGCCAGCAGCATTGACCATGCAAGTGGAAGCAAACATAAACAAACGGGACTACATCAAACTAAGAAGCTTCTGCACTTCAAAAGAAACAGTGACCAAAATACAGAAAGAGTCCACAGAATGGGAAAGAATATTTACCCAATACCCATCTGATAAAGGATGAATATCCAGGATATATAAGACACTAGTAAAATCGTTTCCTCATTCTCTAGATCCTTCCACCAGCTAGAAAAACTGGGTTCTCACGCCATCAGGAAACACTGAGGAGATTAATGGGGAGGAGCTGAACTATCTACAATCTGGGGAAGATTAGCCTTCTTAGCCTTGCCAACAATCTATTTTCTTGGCTTGGTTTCTGCCCAACGCAAGAGCATGCAAAGACCAGAAGAAAAGAGGGTGACAGGAGAAACTGAAAATAAAAAAAGAGAGAGGGAATGCTTAGATTAGGAGAAAGAAGATTTACTAGTGACATTAAACCAGAGAGCAGGTTAGAAGGAGTGGTTGGTCACAGAATTGAAATACCACTTAAGCATGTTTACTTAGTTTATGTGGATTATCTAGGGTAGTGAGGTGCTCAAAGGGTTGTCTTCTGCAAACACACACACAAACACACACACAAACACACACACACATATTAGTAGGTTTCTGCTTGAGTCCTTTCCTGAGAAGCAAAAGTGCTGTGCACAATCAGTTCCAGTTCCTTCTTTCAGCAAAAGGATGAATAACTTGATTTAAAATGCTATGTTACCCCCCAACAGTTTTGCAGCATCAACTTTTAGCAAGCTTTTAATTATAAAAATCAGAGACATACATTTTAAAATAAATTAGGTATGTCTACACTTCCTCCATTTAACCTTTAATCTTAAAAACCTCCAAATCATTCCTTGGGAGAGAATAAAATGTCTCTGAATTACTAACATGCGCCATAGTTTGATCATTTAAATTCGCCCCAGAAGCACAAGCAATAGTTGTCTTGCTTGGGGTCATGCACTCTAAGTTTTTACCCTATTTCTCCAACCTTAGCCGTATTGGCAAACAACGCAATTCTGTTTCTTGTAAAGATCTATTCGCCGAACAAGCACTTATTAAGCATTCAAAACAGACTTGACAAATGGGCTGGTTGCTGAGAATATCAAGATACAATGAAATATAAAATTGAATCCCAAAAATATCAGATAGAGAAAAAAAAGAGCAAAGATGCTTTTTATAATCTTCACATTCTGATTTATTTTGAGGTTTGTTCAGTATCTCTCTTCAGAATAGCAAGACTGTGATATATCCATGGTCTTGTGCATTATCAGCAGAGCTACTTTATCACAAAAAAGCAGAGTATGAAATATTTGGCTCTACAAAATAGAAACTCTAGATGAAGAGAGACTTCATTTAAAACAGCAACATATGAAAACATAATAAATGCCAACCATCCTCATACACAAGCTCAAATGCAACGATGAAGACACATATACAAAAACCACAACAGAAACTTACCTGACTTGCCCACACCTGCTCTGCCAAATATTGCCAGTTTGACCTCTGCACTTTTAGCCATGCTGGGGGTTGGTAGATAACTGACTGCCGTCCAAACAAAAGAGCTGAGAAAATCTGTTGGATTCCAGCCTTGGGATTCACCACATCATTGTAAAGCTGCCGTCCTTAAACAGAAGAGATTTGAGGATTCAAAGTGACTGGAGAAAGGAATTAGTACTTATTAAGCCTCTCTTTTATACCAACCAACATCAACATCTCCCATTTTGATCTTCACCACAATCCTGAAAGGACTATAGTGATTTAGTGTAAACTATTCCACTAAGAAATAGTAGATCCAGGACTTGAAAACGCATGCATTTTCACGGGCAATAGCATTTTCTAAAATGCTTACTCAAGGAAATTGTTTCAGAAATACAAAATTCTGGCGTCAACCACAATTTCTCTCTGTGATATTTTAAATACTTTAAATTTGTGAACACATGCATTTTCCATGTGTTTATAAACATCCAATATGCACATGTCATGGCAGAGTTCCATTTGGGGCTATTCATTTCCCTTTGGACTGACTGAATTTGCCATTCCAGGTCAGTTCAGATTGATTAAGTCATCAGACAGACATATATGTGTGTTCCAGGTAAAGTCTTAGTACTGTCATTGTCACTGTCACTGTCCTCCCATTCTTCATCAATTTGCTCAAGAGGGCCCAGTAACATCTCCATTGTGAGACTTTGTTGTTACTGTGTTTGCCATATTGAATATGTTACGGGTAGCTTGCCAGGCTTTGCCGTGTGGGCAAGATACTCTCGGTAGCTTGCTGGGCTCTCTGAGAGGGGCAGAGGAATCGAACTCGGGTCGGCCATGTTGGCCGCTTGTAAGGCAAACGCCCTAAAATAAAAAAATGTTTTTGAAACACAAATGTCTTAGCACAAGCATGCATATTCTCAGGAGTTTCCTCGTCTATAGATTTCCTATCTTTCTCTCTCTGGCGCTTTCTTTGTCTCTTTCTCTCTTCCTCTCTTTCTCTCCCCTCCTCTTCTCTCCCTCCCTCCCTTCTCCTTCCCTCCCTCCCTCCCTCCCTCCCTCCTTCCTTCCCTCCCTCCTTCCCTCCCTCCCTCCCTTCCTCCCTTTCTCCCTCCCTCCCTCCCTTCCTTCCTTCCTTCCTTCCTTCCTTCCTTCCTTCCTTCTTTCCTTCCTTCCTTCCTTCTTCCATTCCTTCCTTCCTTCTTCCCTTCCTTCTTCCATTCCTTCCTTCCTTCTTCCCTTCCTTCCTTCCTTCTTTCCTCCCTCCCTCCCTTCCTCCCTCCCTTCCTTCCTTCCTTCCTTCCTTCCTTCCTTCCTTCCTTTCTTCCCTTCCTTCCATCCTTCCTTCCTTCCTTCCTTCTTTCCTTCCTTCCTTCCTTCCTTCCTTCTTCCATTCCTTCCTTCCTTCTTCCCTTCCTTCTTCCATTCCTTCCTTCCTTCTTCCCTTCCTTCCTTCCTTCTTTCCTCCCTCCCTTCCTTCCTTCCTTCCTTCCTTCCTTCTTCCCTTCCTTCCATCCTTCCTTCCTTCCTTCCTTCCTTCTTTCCTTCCTTCCTTCCTTCCTTCCTTCTTCCATTCCTTCCTTCCTTCTTCCCTTCCTTCTTCCATTCCTTCCTTCCTTCTTCCCTTCCTTCCTTCCTTCTTTCCTCCCTCCCTTCCTCCCTTCCTTCCTTCCTTCCTTCTTTCTTTCTTCCCTCCCTCCTTTCCTTCCTCCCACCTCTCTCTAGCAGAAAAAAATGCATTCACTGACTTTATTGTTCAGACTTTGGACATCTACACATTTTCAAAAAGAGATTCTCCAAGAAAAGAAAACAGGAAAGACCCTTTTGGAAAATATCTCGGCAAAGACATTAAGACCTAACTGTCTTCTCTGCTATGCATCTAAGCCATCCAGCTGGTCTTGACACATTTTGTGAGCACTCAACCCCAGAGTGCCAGGGTGGAAGCCCAGGAGGAAAAGGCAGCTTGGACATTCGCTCCCATTCTCTCCACTTCAATAATGGAAAACTTCTGAGTAATCATTAATAGTACAAAACCCAGAAGCTTGAACATCTGTAATTTGTCCAGTCCCAGATTTTTGGCTAATGTTGAAAGGATTTCTGCATTTGTCGTTTTGCATGCATTCATTAAGGGAAGGCTCTATGCTTAAGATTCACGGCTACCTCAGACACAGTCTGGAAGCACCCGCAGAGGGAGAGATACACTCTGTAGATTCTAAATTAAAACTGCAAGAGTGTCTTTAAAACATCCACCAGGCAAGTGTCTGGAGCTTGTATTAACAACAATTTGTTATTCTGCATAAAACAGTCCATTCCCGTGCACATAAATACCAAGTGATTGGTGATTTATGCCTTCTGAAAGTAACCATCAAATGTGATTTAAAAAAAAATCACTGAGTCAAATGTTTTAGTAATTCCCAACGGTCCCTGTGGCATAGGAATTTTACACAAGAAAGCAAAATCGTGCGAATCCGTATCTTTCTTCTTTTATAACCTAATAAACAACTGGATATTTAGAAAAATCTCTTGGAGACGCTACGATCTCTCGGCATCATAATTTTCAAATGAAAATGTGAAGCTGCATTAGACAAGAAGTAAACAAAGATAAATGTGAAAACTGTAACAAGTGGCCTTCTACTAAGTTTTTGAGCTTCAGTAGAATTTGCCATCCAAGAGTTTCCATATGATGAATCTGTGAAAGCAGTTCTCTTCATGTGCAGAAACTTGGGGCTGTTGACTTTTTCTGTGGACAGCACTATCAGGACAAAAACTTCTGAGTTCCCGTCGTCACCCCTCACACAAAATATTTTAGCCAGATAGTGACTACTTATTAGAGATTTTTAGATTTAAGACATCAACTGGACAATAGTCAAGATAAAGTGAAGGTGCAGTGATTTTATTCTAAGCCATTCTTTTGAGCACGAGAAGAGAAGCTTAGAGGGGCCAGAGCCATAGTACAGCGGGTAAGTTGTATGCAGCTGACCCGGGTTCGATCCTCAGCACCCTATACATCCCCTGAGTACCACCAGGAGTGATTCCTGAGCGCAGAGTCAGGGGTAAGATCTGAGCATCACAGGAAGGAATGTTAGGAAGAAGAAACGCCTTCAAATTCAGTGTCACTCAGAACGCATTCATCATCCATTCCTGAAGAATACTATTCCGCAACCCACCCTATCCCACTCCCAGTGCCTTCCTGGAGTTTATAATCTATTTCACCTATGACAGGTCACGAGTAACCTGCTTTTATTTTATTTTATATTTTGGTGTTTGGGCTCAGGATCTCTCACTCCAGGTGGTGCTCAGGGGCCCTTATGCGGTGCCGCGGATGGAACCTGGGTTCTGCCTCCTGCCCTCCTGCCCTCCTGCCCGGGGAGCGTCCGGCCGGGCCGGCTGTTTCATCCTCTTCCCCTGGTTCTCTCATTCACGAAAGGCAAGAATTCATTCATCCACCCCTCATCTCCAAGCCCAGCTTCAGCCAGGGTCCCGCTTTCTTCTCCTTCCCCGGCTGCGGGGTGGTGGGAGGAGGTGCAGGGCGAAGCCAGCATCACCCTAAAGTGCATCTCCCCCTCCCCAACTTGTGCTCCCACCGACGGGTGTCCTGCTAAGCAAGCGCAGCTGCGGCGGGGGGCAGAACCCCGCGGAGTGGGGCCGTGGGAACCAGCCTCTCTGCGCCCCGAGTCAAGTTGCCCTGTGCTCAGTCGCCTTTTGGGGGAGGGGGCGCGCATCGCATCGGGGGACGCAGGGGCGAGCCCCCCGCCGGAGCCCCGCGCCGAGCAACAGGTCCCCGGCAGAGAGGACACACGACCGGGACGGGGACCGCGGGGCGCGTGGGTCTCCCCCGAGGGGGGGAGACCGTCTTGGCAGCCGTCTCGGGGCGCCCGCACGCCCTCGCAGCGACCCCTCCACCCGCCACCCCCCAGCCCTCCCCGGGCACCCGGAAAACTGCACCCCGAGCCCAGGCGTTCCGGGCCGTTTCGGAGCGTTTCCGAGGAGATCCGGGGCGCGCGGGGCAAGGCACGTGCGTGGCACTCACCTGTCCGCACTGTCCGGACCCCGGGCGAGCCGCGATCGCGCTCCCCGGGACGGCGCGGGGGTCTCGGCGCCGCGCTCGCTCCCACGGGCGGCCCCGCTACTGCGGCAGCCGCGAGCCCGGCGCCCGGGATGCTGCAGTGCGGCGCGGCGGCGCCCCCTAGCGGGCCCCGGGCACGGCGCGCTCCTCGGGCGGGAAAGCGGCGCGGCCTGCAGCATCCCCGCCCCGGGCCGGCCCTTCCCGGGCCCCGCGCTCGCTGCCTCCCCGGCCTCTCTCGGTTCCTTCCCTGGGTGCAAGCATCGCTGCGTGCTGGTCCTGTCCGCATCCCGAGGTCCCTCTGGGAGAGTCTGGAGGAAACCGAAGGAAGGACTTGAACCAAGGGAAACGGGTGGGATTGAAGCCCAGGCCTCAGGAGCAGCTGAGCTGCTACCAGAGGCAAAAACCCGATTTCGGCTGAAATTGCTCCCTGTTTGGGAAAGTTCCAAAACGCTTCCCTTTCTCTTTCTTTGCTGGAGGTTGGCACTGAGTTCGTCGTCTTGCATCACTCCCGAATTCTAACCAGGAAGGTTCATGTTTGCTCTGTTCTAGAACCTGCTTCCACATCCAGCATCTCATTTTCTGTTTGCGGGCTCCCTGGAGTAAACGCTCTGGTTCTCATGATGGTCATGCGTTCACCGAGGAGGAAGAGCATTTCGGGGAGGTTAAAAGATTTCTCGAAGATCAACAGCAGCAGGAAACATCTAAACTAGGGTTTTTTTGTTTTTGTTTTTGTTTTTAAATCTCACTTTGAAATCTGAGTAATCTCACTAAGATGCCAGGTGCCAAGGGGAAATCACTGCAATGTGGAGCAGACAGAGCCCAAAATAGAAGTGGACCCCGGAGGAAGAGTTTCTAGGCCTAGATGTGACCACTGGGCTGAATACAGCAGCTGAGCTATGGCAGAAGTAAGAATTGCCTAAGGACAGTAGAAACAAGGGCCAGGAGAATTGATCCACGGTTGGAAGCCTGCCTCAAGCGCTGGGAATAGAGAAGGGACCACTATGTCAAAGAGAGTTGGGAATAATCATTCTGGATAATTACTGCGTGCTGAAGGTAGGTAAAGAAACAAACATGATAAACTCTCAGTATCTGTATTGAAAACCATAATGCTCAAAAGGAGAGAGAGAAGGGAGAGAGAGCGAGAGAGAGAGGGGGAAGAGAGAGGAGGGAGGGAGAGAGAGAGAGAGAAAGAGAGAGAGAGAGAAAGAGAGAGAGAGATGCCTTCTTAGAACTTCTTAGAGATAGGCTGGCTGCTGGTAAGAGGTCGAGAGGGGCAGGAGAAAAAGTGGGGACATCGGTGGTGGAAAATGTACACTGGTGGAGAGATGGGTGTTGGAATATAGTATAACTGAAACCCAATCATGAACGACTTTGTAGCTGTGTGTCTCGTGGTGATTCAATCACGATCACGATCACGACCACCCTGTTGTTCGTCGATTGCCTCGAGCAGGTGCCAGTAACGTCTTCTTCGTCCTAGCCCTGAGATTTTTTTTTTTTTAAGTGCCATATTCAAGGCTTTTTCAGGGTTAGGAGAATGAGACCCATCATTGTTACTGGTATTTGGCATATTGGGTATACCACGGGGAGTTTGCCAGACTCTGCCGTGTGGGCATGTTACATTTGGTAGCCTGCCAGTTTGACCAAATTAGGAATGAGATGATAAGATGTCATCAGCGGCCGCGCGCTTCCGGGAGCTGAGTGTGATGATCTCTGGATCCTGGCCGTTGTTGGAGTTACACGGCAGTTGGTGGGTGTAACTGTCTAGTTACTGGCAGGTCCAGTCCCAAACTGGATTCAATAAAACAAATAAATAAATAAAAAGAATTGCCTGTGTGTAGATTGTCTTGCAAATTCTTTGAAAACGCTCAAGTCCTGAAAAGGTTTATTCTCTTAGACTCTACTCATCACTAGTCTCTGTCCTCCCTCTTACCACACACCTGGATTAGATAACCTGACCCCATGTCTCATGGAAGCCCACAATCAATGATGATGTTTGCTGTTCGGTCATATTTATTGCTCAGATGCCTTGCATTATACCTTGACCTTCTGGAACGTAGGATAGAGTGTTTATTTCTCTATATTCCTGACTTGATCCCAGTGCCTGGCACAAGGTGGATGGTGGCTGAAAGGCTGACAGGAACAAACAAGCAGTGATGACAGTTCTGCTTGATTGGTTCACAGGCTGCATTAGGGAAAGACAATAAGAAGTGAAATACGTAGGTCCCACATACAGGAGAGAGGCACGAGGGATTGGACTCTGCATGTGAGAAGTCTCTAAGACTGGAATATGGAAGGAGTGGTCCAGGTAGATTATACAAGACCTAGAGAGAGCAGGTAAGGAACTTGTCTAGCACACTACTGAGCCGGGTTTGATTCCCAGCACTACACATAGTCCCCCCAGCACTTCCCTGAGCACAGAGCCTGGAGCAAGCTAGTATAGCCTCCACACTCCCAATCTCAGTGAACAAAATGTTAAATCATATTTTTCAGAAATCCAGTGACATAAAAATTATGTGGCATTCAAGTATTGGGGCCTTACTTCCCTTCCCAATCAAATACTATTTTTATAGAAAGATTGTTTATGTCTTTACAGAGACTAGGCTGAAATTCCCAGTTGGCCACTTTTATTGAGAACTTTGAAGACAACCAAGCCAGCTTCAGAGCAGGCCTTTGGAGTCTTGCCTAAGGAACCTGTTTTTCTCCTCTTTTCCTTCCGAGCTCATGTAGGCTTACTTTTCTCTCTCATCTATGGGAGCATTTGCATGCAGCTCTGCAAAACACATGAAGAGGCTGTCGAGGTATCTACAACCCGTCCCCCCCCCCCCCCCACACACACACACATACACACACAGAGCTCTTTTTTTTTCTTATTTGAATCACTGTGAGATACAGAGTTACAAAGCTGATCATGCTGGGGTTTCAGTCATACAATGTTCCAACATCTGTTCCTCCACCAGTGTACACTTCTCACCACCAATGTCCCCAGATCCCTCCTGCCACCTTCCCCGCAGCATGTCTCTATGGTAGGTATAACAGGCACTTTCCTTCTCTCTTCTCTCTTCTCTCTGTCTCTGAATCTCTTTCTCTCCTCCTCCACCTGACTTTGGGGTGTTATGGTTTGCAATACAGTTTCTCCTGTTCCTTTACCTGTTTTCAGGATGTAGTTCTCTTTAGCACCTCTCTACTCTTCCAGGAAAGAATATCTTTTGTCACAAGAGTGGGAAAAGGTGATACTCCCCTCCACTGCATGGATGAGTATGAAAAAAAGGACACACTGTTCGTAGAGCTGCAGGGTATTGTTGGCTTGGAAGAGCTTCCCCTGGTGAGAGCTTCTGAGGTAGTTCAGTCCCTAAGCTTAGCTCCAGGCTGAGGCTAAAACTTCTAATGCAAAACGTGGCCAAAGAGTCCTTACAACTTCCAAATGTATTAAAAGTTGGTGTGTATAATTGAAACCCAAGCACAAAAATTTGTAAGTCTACAACTGTACCTCATGGTGTCTCACTAATAAAAGTTAAAAAAATTTTTTTAAAAAGTTGGTGTGTGGGGTGTGTATGGTTGTTGTGAATAATGTTCACTGTAAATAATCCAAGAAGTAGAAAAAACACACGGGGAAAGAGATCACCCCAGAGTCATTTGGTTCGAATGATTTTATTGTTGGCTAACTCTTTCAAGGCTGAATTCTCTCTTGAACACTATCTTTGCCTGCTCTGTCCACACTAGAGAAGCCCATGTTCTCTTTTGCACACAAATTCCTCACCTCCTCTTCCCTCATGTCTTTCTAACTTTATTTTGTTCAATCAAAAATAATTTTCAAAAAGACTTTATTGCCGCAGAGGACCTTCTAGATAAGAGAAATGGATGGTAGATATTCCAAATGTCTCAGAACAGAAAAGACCTCATCACCAGATGCTTGTTTAATTGCAAGGAGAAGTGCAAAAATGTCATAGTTCTCTTTTAATGAATTTAATGATAAAATACTTAATAAAACATATTAAACTGGAGCGATAGCACAGCGGGTAGGGCATTTGCCTTACAAGCGGCCAACATGGCCGACCCGAGTTCGATTCCTCCGCCCCTCCCGGAGAGCCCGGCAAGCTACCGAGAGTATTCGATATGCCAGACACAGTAACAACAAAGTCTCCAATGGAGACCTTACTGGGCCCGCTCGAGCAAATCGACGATCAACGGGAGGGCCTTTACCTTTACCTTACCTATTAAACTAGGAGGCTTGAGATATAAGACATGGATAAAGGATTAGTCTTGCACATGGTAGACCCTAAGTCATACCAGAGTCCCATAAGGATTGAGCCCTGAGTGCAGAGCCAGGTATAAGCCTGAACAGTACCGGATTTGCCCTTAAACCAAGCCGAAGCCCAACAACATAAAAGTCCCATTAAACTAACGATAAAGAGTTAAGACAAACCACAAAAGGTAGTTGAACTTTAGATGTTTCCCCATCTCATGGCTGTTTCATCCTAAAGAATCCTCTTAAGTTAACATTATTATATACATTTGGATCCCAATTTGTTTCCCTAAGCAAATACTAATTTCTCTTCGTATGGTTTATACTGAACCAGACAATTGTTTTAGGAAATAACAATTAACTTCGTGCTCCTTAAAAAAGAGGACTTTTGCTTTTCCACTAAGACTTTTTTTTGTCTCTGTTTTCCTTCCTAGATTTTCACTTCTATATTTTTTATTGTCTAACGTGATCATATTTGCATTCGTTCTGAAACTCAAATTCCCAAGGTGATTTATACTTAATTCTGTACAAAGTGAAATTGGTAGACTTAATTACTCATTTTCCCATAGTGCTTCTGTTCTTTATTCTTTATCTTCATCATTATTATTTTCAGGAACATTTTATAAATGCTATGCTATACAATTGAGAATTCCCATCTCTTTGTCTCTTTTTGCTGCATTTACTTGTCTGTTTACTGGAGGGAAATGCTCCTAAAAGTGCTCAGGGCCCCAAAGACCAGTCCCTTGCTATTTGGACAACTGCTGCCAGGGCTCTGCAGTGCTGGACTGCATAGGACCACTTTGATGGTGCCTACCGGTCCCCAGGGTTCTACTGAGGGTGACTAGGGAACTCTGCAGTGCGAGGAA